TTGATTCCCTCTAATGTAGTCATCATTTTAGTTATTGTATTCTTCATTTCTGACTGGTTCCTTTTTATGTTTTCTATCCTTCTCTTTTTTCTTTTTTTATATTTTTATTGATTTCAGAGAGGAAGGGAGAGGGAAAGAGAGAAACATCAATGATGAGAGAGAATCATTGATCAGCTTCCTCCTGCATGCCCCCTACTGGGGATTAAGCCCACAACCCGGGCATGTGCCCTTGACCAAAATCAAACCTGAGACCCTTCAGTCTGCAGGCTGACACTCTATCCACTGAGCCAAACCAGCTAAGGCGTTCTATCTCTTTTTTATGTTTCTTATCTCTTTGTTAAAGTTCTCACTGAATTCAGTGAGCAACCTTATAACCAGTGTTTTGAACTCTGCATCTGATAGATTGCTTGTCTCCATTTTATTTAGTTCTTTTTCTGGAGTTTTGTCCTATTCTTTTATTTGGGACATATTAGTCTTATCATTATGGCTACCTCCCTGTTTTTATTCCAATGTATTATGTAGAGCTGCTATATCTCCCGGTCTTGGTAGAGTGGCCTTATGTAGTGGGGCCGAGTGGCACAGTCTCCCTGGTCACCTGAGCAGGGTGCTCCAGGTATGTCCCTTGTGTGGGTTATTGTCGGAGAACACCTACCGTCTTCACTAGCAGAGAAGAGTAGAGACTCCCAAAAGCTGGTGACCTTTGAAGCCCTAGCAAAGGTTGGAGCTGTGCACCACTCAGTTAATCTATATAATGGTAGCTGAAGCATCCTCCCCACCTTAATTCATTTAATTCCTTAGATACTCATGTAAATCCTTATTGATAAGATAGTCTGCCTATTACTGGAAATTGTCTGCTGATGAGCTAATCTGTGTGTCATTGAAATCTCCTTACCTAAGGGCTACCCCAGATCAATAAAAGCTTGGTGAGGCCTGAGCATCAGGGGAAGTCCCTCTCCTTGAGTTGGACTTGCCCGCCTGGCTTCCCAATATTTCCAAATTGTCTCTTGTCTCTTTTCTCTCTCATTTGTGTGCGGCTCCTCTTCCAGACCCTGAACCCTGAACCACACAGGACGTGGAGGGAAACATACTCAACAGGTTATGTGTGCCCTCCTGTTGTAGTTGAGTCTTTATTGCTGTTAGTATGTCAGTGGGAGGGATTGACCCTCAGACTGATTAGTTGTAAGGACTGGCCATGACTATAGCAGAACAGCTGTTGTGCAGTGGCTGACCTCACAGAGTTGGTTTTGCTTTAGTAGGGCTCTGATGGCTGGCAAGTCTGCTCTTTGGATGTGTCCTTTGTGGAAGTGGTTGAGTGGTGCTCTGGAGTGGTCTGAAGCTGGCTACTGGGTGTGTTGGTTTTGGGGCATCTTGGGGAGGCTCTGGTGCAAGCCAAGGTCAACAGCTGCCTTTGTTCTGCCTGGGGCTACCTGGTATGAACTTCAAAGTAATTTGCAAATGGTTGCCATTTGTGCTGGACTTGGTAACATCTGGGAGAAGCTGTGCCATGAACTGAGGCTTGGGGCTACTTAGCAAGAGGTACAGGGCACGCTGAAGCCAGATGCTACTAGTTTGGGGTTTGTGAACTTTTGAGAGATTTTAGGAAACTCTGCAGCATGACCCAAGATGGGCAATTTGTATGGAAAAAGCCACTGGAAATGGCGTGGGTGGACCCTAGTGTTATGCCCAGATTTCAGGATCCCCAAAAGACCACCAGGGAGCCAGCCGAGTCCAATGCAAAAAGCAAAAGAGTCTTTATTCGAGCTAGCTGGAGCTCCCCGTCTACCACACTCGCCAACACAGCGGCAGGAGGCAGAGAGAGAGACAGCTCTGTGGGGAGAGAGGTTTTATAGGGGGGTTGGAGTAAGGGGAAGAGAGAGGACTGTGGGCCCTGCCGACTGGCCAGGCGCAAATCTGGGTCTTGTTACACAGGATGTGGTTGTGTCTATGGCGCACACTTCCCTTGATTATCATTGGTTAGTTTAAAGAAATCCTAGGTGTGGCTAGCAGAGGCTTGGGCTTCCGGGAAGAAGCTCCTTGCTGAGCACATGGCTAATGGCTGCTGCCCAAAAATGGAGGATCTGGGGCAAGATGGAGGGTGTAGCCCTCGCCCTTTCACCTAGTTGGGTGGGAGTGGGGTTCTCAGGGAACCACCAGAACTGGGTGAACAGTGTTAGCCAGGTTGATGGAGACTCAGATATGGTGCCCGCAGGGGGAGAGCTCAGAAAAGTAACAGTGGGCTCTACAGCACTTCTTGGAGAAAGCTGCCCCTCCAGCCTTTGCCCTGAAGCCAGACAATTCAGTTCTCCATATGTCCCTTGTGCTTTTCTTTCCTTTAAAAAATATATATATTATATTTTTATTTCAGAGAGGGAGAGAGATTAAAACATCAATGATGAGAATCATTGATTGGCTGCCTCTTGCACACCCTCACTGGGGATTGAGCCTGCAACTTGGGCATGTGCCCTGACTCAGAATAGAATCATGACCTCCTTCCTGGTTCATAGGTCAATGCTCAACCACTGAACCACACCGACTGGGCTCCCTTGAGCTTTTCGAGCTGCTGCTCCAGTGTTGGAGCTCAGAGTGAGTAAGTCCATCTGCAAGTAAGTCCTTGAGCGGGCACTTTAAGAGGAATGCCTGGGACCTAGTAGCTCTCGATCTCATTTAGCTGCAATCCCCTTTAGTTTTTACAGACTTCTCTTCCTGGCATTGTAACCCTGGACTGGGGAACCTGGTGTGGAGTTGGGATCCCTTACACCTCAGGCTATCCCTCCAGATTTTTAACCGCCACACATGGGTGTGGGACTACCCCATTCTGCATCTCCGCCCCTCCTACCACTCAAGTGGCTTCCTTTTATAAAAAAATATATTTTATTGATAATTTTACAGAGAGGAAGGGAGAGGGATAGAGAGTTAGAAACATCGATGAGAGAGAAACATCGATCAGCTGCCTCTTGCACACTCCCTACTGGGGATGTGCCCGCAACCAAGGTACATGCCCTTGACCGGAATCGAACCTGGGACCCTTGAGTCCGTAGGCCAATGCTCTATCCACTGAGCCAAACCGGCTATGGCTCAAGTGGCTTCTTTTGTATATCCTTAATTATAGGAGTTCTGGTCAGCTAGACTTCAGGGGGTTCTGTAGTTTTGTTGTAATTTTGATGTTATGGGGGAAAGCAAGTACAACATTTACCTCCGCTATCATTTTTGTTTTCTTTCACAACTTAAAATATTTATTCCACTACCTACCAGTGTCCATGGATTCTGGTTGAAATCAGCCTGAATGGTCAAAACAGGATGTTATTCCATCACATTCTCCATAATTGAATCAATGCAATTAATTTTGTTTATAGATAAATTTGTACTGCTCACTATTATTTTATACTGCTTGACTATCCCTGAGTTTCCTCCTGACCCCCAGATCTGAGGTTCCTGAAGCCTCCTGGATAGCCTTTTCTAGAAGTCTCTCAGACCTCCTACACCAACTGTGACTGCAACTGGCCTGGGTGTCTCTCCAAAACCTGCTCTTTCTCCCTGGTCCTCATTTCAGGGACAGTTTCTTTGTCTCCCAAACCCAGGACAGAGTTCTGGACCTTTTCTTAAATTCTCCCTTGCTCCTATTTCTTACATGGGCCACCACCCCCACAGTGTGTTCACTAGGCCTCCTGAGCATCTCTCCCACCTGCCCCCTCCTCTGCTTTATCAACCAGGCTTTGGTCCAGCACCATCCTCTTCTGCCCAGGTCCCTGGCCTAGTGCCTCCTGGGATCTCTGCCTCCAGTCTTGAGCCATTCCCCACAGGGAAACCAGGACATCTTTGTAATATCTGACCACATCCTTCAGCTTCTCAGTTCTGAGTGCTCCTCTGATAATTTTCAAGCTCAATATCATGACCTTAGTGGCCTTGCCTGCTCCTGGAGCTATATCGTCATGGACAAGCTGGTCTTGCTGTATTATCTGGTGTCCCTTCAGAGTGTATGACCCCTGGGCCTCTACTCCTAGAGTAGGAGAGAAAAGGGGGGTGGTCAGAGGACTTCCAGAGTCACTTCACTTGCAACCTCTGAGGAGGGGCGGTAGTTGAGTCCACTGGGGAGACAGGGACTGGAGTACAAAGGTGCATTTACTTTTTGCCTTTCAGCTTCTTTCCCCTCTTGATAAGAAGAACTGCCATTACACATACTCATAGAAAGCATGAGATTAGGGTAAGACTGACTGCCCCTCAGATACAGGAGTGTGCTCTGATTGGTCTAAGCCACTCAAAGTCAAATCCCTCTGGCAGTGTGAGAGGTAAAGTGGTGAGCTTATGACCCAACCCATCCAATAGAGTGACTGACAGGACTGACAGCCTGGGCATGTTAGACCCCAGGCCTTTATTCCTCTGGACAATAAGACCTGTGGATATGTACCCTCAGATTGTGAGGGGGGCTGGCCTGAGGCCAGAGACCACACTCAGAGGAGGGAAAGCTACAGCGAAATGGAGTGAGAATCCTATGGATATTGAAGACTTCTGGATCAAGCCATACCTGGAACTTATCTTGACAAAACCCATATATTATCATTTCCATTTGGACTATTTGAGTGAAATTTTTGCTACTTATAAAAAAAAAATCCTAACCTCTCCAGAGTCCCCTCCTTAAGCTAAATACCAGATAGGTGTTGATATCTGAAATATTTAATGACTGGTGCAAAACTTGGGTACTGAACAATCAGAACAGACTTCAGGCCATAGCAATGGGCCTGGGTCATGGAGGACCCTGCTGGACTGTAGAGAGGTCATGGGCGCCCTGGGGCGGGGCTTAGTTGGCAGGCACATAGAGAAGCTGCTATTTACCAGCTGGCACAGAAGGACTTTGGTATTTTAATGACCTATGTGGCTGTGTGGTCTGAAAGAGAAATGAAAATTTAAGCAAAACAGAGAGACAGGTTTGGGATGGGTGACAGTTGCATTTCAAAGATGGCCCAGGAAGGAAGGAATGAGAGTGGATGGGGCAGGTAAGTGGCCTAGGTCAGTGACTTCTTCACAACTTCCTCAGGTTCAGCCTTGTTCACTGCCACCTTGGAGCCAACTTTGGAGCCAACACTAGATTTGGACTCAGATGACCTGCTGAAGGCTATAGAAGAGGAGCTGTAGGAATAGTAGGAATCTGATGCGATGATGGTGTTGATTTTCCAGCGGAGGGTATTGCACATCTTCAACATAAGGGGCAGCAAGAGGCAGGTGATGATGTAGAGGATCACCAGGCCAAGAAACACACTGGTCGACACCTGCATGTACCACACAACAGGTGTGGATGGGCAGCCTGGTGGGTCCCTGTCCACCTTGCAGGGCAGCTCCTGAGCAGCCAGTCACTCACCATGAGGATGAAGAGGGCTCGCTTGGCATTGAGTGGAAGCCCGTGTAGATGTAGCAGGAAGGTGAGCTGGTAGTCACAGTATGTGCTCTTGTCCACACCTCTGGTGGGAGAAGGGGTTAAGAATTGGGGAGGAGTCAGGCACCCCACAGGAAGCCCCTGATCCCACCTGGGCCACATGCCTGGCTTACCTATTGCTCACCAGCACCTTGAAGAAGAATTCGGGGGCGAAGATGCTATGGGGAACGGTGTCATGGCATGGAGAGTTCTCCAGACACAGCCACCTGGGGGCCCATGATCAGGCATTTGTGCTGCAAATCATGCATAGCAGGTGCCCACCCTTGATTTCTCCCTCTACCCCAAAAACTTTAAGTTAGCACCAATTAGGTACAATCTTATAACTTCATACCTGATTCATTCCTTCATTCATTTACCCAATAAGGCTGGCTGAACGCCTAGGAAGTGATAGGCCATTTGTTTACTCATTCATTTCCTCCTGCCTTTCCATGTCCATCTGTCAATTACTCTGTTACTATGCATTCATCTAGATCAGGAGTGGGGAATGTCCAGCCCAAGGGCCATATAAGGCCCATGAAATAATTTGATCTGGCCCTGCCAAGGCATTAGGGGTGAGTTAATTAAATTTTGACCAAATGTAACAGGCTAGTTTTTAAGTTGATAATTTTGTATGGCCTGACAATGATGTTATAAATATCCAAATGGCCCTTGGCAGAAGAAAGGTTCCCCACCCCTGATCTAGATTATGGATTGTACACCTTTTATGTACCAACTCCTCACTTATACCTTACTACCTTCATTCCTTCATCCTACAAATAGAGCTTGACCCTACAGTTTGTGGAACCTTAGGAGCCTTGCTGTGGACAGGGGCCTGAGATACCAAGGTGGGTGAGGCTTGCAGCATCTATTAGGTACAAAGTCACATCTTTCTTCATTTACTCTTCCCTTTATTCATTTATTCAACAATCATAGGTTGAATGCTGACTCGGTGCAAGTTGGTTATTTTGTTCATTCTCTCACTTCTCTCATTTGCTCATGGCATCATTTTCTTCCTCTCATTGAATAAAAAATAGTAATTGAGCCCTAGCTGGTTTTGCTCAGTGGTTAGAGCATCAGCCCATGGATCAAAGGGTCTTGGGTTCTATTCCTGTCAAGGGCATGTAGGCTTCTTCGGTTGCAGGCTCCATCTCTGGCCCTGGTCTGGGCATGTGTGGGAGGCAACCAATCAATGTGTCTCTTTCATATCAATGTTTTTCTCTCTGCCTCTCCCCCTCCCTTCCACTCTCTCTAAAAATTAATGGGAAAAAATATCCTTGCGTGAGGATTAACAACACGACAAAAAAAAGTAATTGAGTTCCTATACACTAACTTACTCCTCCATTGTTTAATTCATCATTAAGACCTCTACTCAAATGTCAATAATGCCTACCATGAATTAATTAAACTTGTTCATTATCTCATTCCACAAATATTATGTTGAGTTTATTCTGAATCTGGACCTATATAGGAGACAGACCTCATAGGAGACAGGGCTGGGATGGGGAACAAAGGCAGAGGGTCAAGGCGGGAATGGGGTAGCACAGAAGGATGGAAACCAACTGTCCCATCTAGAACTGTCAGAAAAATCCTCCTAGGTGAAGAGGCATCTAAACTAAGGCCTGAAGAAGAAGTAAGAGGGACTAGCACTGCAGATAGAGGGTCCAGCTTATGTAAAGATCAGCCCCATTTGAGGAACACAAAGGTGGTCAGTGTGGCTTGGTCTCCCAGAAGCAGAAGGGATGGATTGGCTGACAGATTATGGGCATGTGGGAGATAAAGGGCCGGCAGCCAGGATATGCACTCACTCAATGCCCATGTTGTGGGACATGATGTTGAAAGCCAAGTCCTTGGTAGCTGTTGAGTTCTTGGTGGTCCAGATGAGGCTGTAGGTGCTGTAGAGGACCGCCATAACCTCAGTAGGGGACCATGGAACCTCGGTGGAGCAGGGGGAGTGTGTGTGGGGGGGCCCTGGGCTGCCCTTGCAAAAGGAGGCCAGCAATGTGAGCAGTGGTGGTGGTGGGGGGGTCGGGGTTGGAGCCTTCAGTGGGTGGGGGTGGGGTTGGGGTTGGGGTAGAGGTTGGAACCTTTGGTGGGCAGGGCATGGGGCCTCACATTGTGGAAGGGGCAAGAGTTTGTGGGACCTTAGGAGCCTTGCTGTGGACAGGGCCCTGAGATACCAAGGTGGGTGAGGTTGCAGCAAGAGCAAGGGTAAGGTCTGTGGCTGGGAAGCCTGAGGGTTCTGCAGGGAAAGGAAGGCCCAATTATGGGGCTGGTTCACAGGGATTACTTGTCCAG